GGATCTGGTTTAGGGTTTGGGGGTTCCAGCAGTGACAGGTTAATGGTTGGACTCGATCTTAGACGTGTCCTCCAGCCTTGATGGTTCTGTGATTTCACTATGGATCAAAACTACTACAGACACTTTCAGGTGCCCCTGGAGAAGGAATCCCTGATGTTTTCCAGCCTTGAGGCAGGATGCTGCAGTGTCCTGGAGCCCTCAGTGAGCTCCCTGTGCTCTGCTCATTCTATATAGGAGAGAAGGGCAGTTTTCCATGGCAGTGGGAGCTCAGCTCTATGCACATCCTCAGGAGCTGGCCCAGCTCCAGCAGCTCTGCCAGAGAGGAATTGAGGCTGGAGCAGAGGGAAGGCCAATGGCTCAAGCTTTCCAGAGGCTCCACATTTTACTATGGCAGGAAGTGAGGTCAGGCCCAGCCGCTGCATGCTGGAATTGTTTGCTGGAAAGGCAGTCAGGAAGACTTTCTGTGCTCCTTAAAAGCCTTTGGAGTGTGAGACTGACCTGGAAAACGTTGCCTAGCTGTGAATCTGGTTAACCTGATTGACCATGTGACAGCAGCACAGTGGGGAGTTGCTCAGGAATACTTCCCAGGGGCCAGTTTTCAACTGGGAATTGGTCTGATTTAGTTTAAGATACATTTTAATAAGCAATAAATTACTATATTTTATCTTTTAGATGCATCTTGAGCAACTAATCTGTGAAAACAAAAGCTCAGTTTGACTTAGAAACATCATATCCACTATCACTTCTTTCAGCTCAGCTAAAACTCTGCCTCAGTTTTGTTTCTGAGATGATCATCCCCAACTGGTTGATATTTTTTTAATACTCTGTGGGCTGAATTCATCCCCTCTCAGCTCAGGTTTGGGACTGACCTTTAGCTGATGTGTAATAGGAATCACTGCAAGGCGGTGAATCAGGCCAGAAGGAGACTGGAAAATGTAACCTTTCTAAAACTTCATCTATTTAATGCCATGCTGACTCAAAAATCTCCAGTACAGGGTGACAGAGCTGCAGAGTTACCTCCACCAGTTCTGTCATTGATTCATGTGTAATGATTCACTAAGTAAATCCCTATGAACTACAATATTTCTGGCCTTGATGCTTCCAGATGGGATTTTTCTTGCTTATTTTTAGTCTAGAATTGAAAGTTTAGGGTATTAGCTCATCTTTAATGTCAGTGCAGCCTCTGAGTTCTCAGTACAAGCACTTTTTGCCTTGTTTTTTTTTTGGCCACTTGGATAGTTACTGATGATGATAGAATCATAGAATTTAATCCAGAGGAGGCACCGAGGTGATCACAGGGATATTGAGCAGCTCTGCTGTGAGCAAAGGCTGAGGGAGTTGGGATTGTTCAGCCTGGAGAAGACAAGCTTTGGGGTGACCTCATTGTGGCCTTCAGTGCCTGAAGGAGCTACAGGAAAGATGGAGAGAGACTTTGGACAAGGGCCTGGAGAGACAGGATCAGAGGGATTTGATTCACACTGGCGGAGACTGGGATTGGATTCGATATTGGGAAGGAATTCCTCCCTGTGAGGTGCTGAGGCACTGGCACAGGTTTCCTAGAGCAGCTGTGGCTGCTCCATCCCTGGGAGTGTTCCAGGCCAGGTTGAATGGGGCTTGGAGCCGCTTGGGCTAGTAGATGTTCCACCATGGCAGGAGGTAGAACAAGATCATCTTTAAGGTCCTTCCAGCCCAAACCATTCCATGAGTCTCACACCTTTGCTGTGGGAGTGAGGATGGAGGTGGGTTCAGGATCCAGGAGTCTCCTCTCTGCCCATGCAGTGCTTGTCCTCCTCCTTGTCCTTGGGACCAGCCTTACCTTGGGGTGCTGAGGGCCAGAGGCAGGGTTGGATTCCCTGCTCCCAGCCCTGCTGGGGGGGCGGGAAATGCCTTTCCAAGACAGAGCTCTGCCTTTGTTTTGCTTTGCAGGAAATTGTGCTGAGCATGTCATAACTTTTCAGGAATTCTCTTCTTATTTACCCGAATACCACCTACTTCCTTGCATGAAATGGAGCTCTGGGAAAGTAAACCTGTAAGGATCCTGGTTTATTTCCCAGGAAAAATTGTCCCACACTCATTTTCTGTGCTCCCTTTGAGGGCAGCAATATCTTTGTTGCTCTTACCAGGATTTCCAGGAACGAAGGAAAGCTCTAAACCCAAAACAACTTGTATTTTTTTGCACATTCCTCCTTGCCCTCAGTGCTCTGCCCCTTGCAGCCTCCCCAGCCCAGCTGCACAGGGAGACCTCAATGTTCTGAGCCAGGTGAGACTGCCCAGAAGATCTCATAATGGTTTCATTTCTGCCAATACTTCTGTTTTCTGTGACCCATATGGAGATTCCTGCCCCGAAATCTGCTATTTTAGGAGTTTGTTATTAAGTGTATGAAAACACTGATTTCCTGATGGTCCAAGCATGAAGTTGTTCCTCTGAGAACTGAAATCACAGCACTGAGCAGATGGAATGTGTGTGTAGGTGTCAGTGGAAATAAATCCTACCTGTGCCATTAGGCAGTGGATTAAGGACTCCGAACCCCATGTGGGTGTTTGGGCTTTGCTCTGCAGTTTGTCCCACGGACAAAGCCTCAGAGGATTCAGCTCAGCCAACGCAGAGGGCAAGGATAGAAACTCTGAAGGGTTATTTAAAGTTGCAGGTGGCACTGGGACCTGTTTCACAATGTGTTTTTCTGCAGCTGCTTATTTTGATTGCTTGAACATTTGAATGCAGGTGGAGCTGCTCTTTGGGAAAGGGATTTTCCCTCTGTTGAGTGCTCATTTCTGTCCTCTTTGAGGTTCTCAGATGAAAGAAATTAGGACTAGATGCAGATTTTCAGTTTGCCTGTGTACAGTGAGCTCCTCTTATGGCTCTTAATGCTTAGATCCAACCTCTAAAAAATGGGAGAGGAAGGAATTTTTCCCTTAATTTTACCATTCCATGCAGGGATTTTTGAGTGAGTTGTATACACTCAGCTGAGTTTGTGTCCTTGGCAGAGGCAATTCCAAACCTGGCAAATAGAATGGGAGGTTATTTTATTCAGGAAATGAATGATATGCTAAGGCTGTTAAGGGTATTTAGGCCAAACCTGGTGCAGCATTAATCCTTGAGGTTTTGTCCAGCCCTTACACTTTACAATCACTTTTGGCCTCTTTAAATTGTACCTGGAGCAAACCTGGAACACAATTTGCTTGTGCAAGGAGCTGAGTTCTTTGGAAGCCCTGAGGAGTTTGTTGTGCTGCATTTTGTGGCTGTGTGATTATCTCTCTTACTTTGAGGTGATTTTGCAAGCAAAAATTTGATCAGTGAGTGCCAACAGCCTCTTCACCTGGTGATGGTGACACAGGGGAGATCCTTGGAGTCTCAGCCTGCATTGCAGGCCCCTGTGGAACAAAATGAGGTCCAGCCAAAAGAAATGATAAATCAGGCTATGATATTTCTCTCCCTGTTGCTAATCTGCTGCAAATTCAGTCCCACAGGTACAGAATGAATCAGTTTTCCTCTTTCCTTCCCCAGACTGTTCCATACTCATGGAGAGAACCAAACAAGGACTTGGCACTTGTGTACGTTATGGGGATGGTTTTGGGTTGATTCCACTCTTTAGTTTTAAGGGATTGGACTATCCTAACCAGATTTTGCCTTCTGGTTTATAGGAGGGAGAAGGAAGTGTCAGCATTTCCTGTATCCTGTCGTCTCATGCTTTTTCAGGAGGCTGAACTAGCTACACTGAAATTCCCTGAGTTTGGGGCTGTGTTTTGACTGACTGTGATCACGGATGATTCCCTGAACACCCACAACTCTGCAGCACTTTTCCATACACATTTCTCCACAGTGCTCAGTTAAAGACCTTGGTATAAAGTACTTTTTTGGGTTCCTTTAACCCTTGTTTCCACTGGGTCACAGTCTGTATTGATGACATCTTGCAGCATTGGAGAAATGCCACATTTTGGGGGTTTTTTTTGGGTCATCAGAGGGACTGAACTGTATTTGTGCTATGTGAATTATTTATCCTGAAACTTGAGTTCTGGAGTAGGAGCAATTTAGGAATTAGAAGGGAAAATTTAGCAATAAAGAGCTGCATGAATATAAATTCTGCTGCACTGAGGTACAGATTTCAGCACTTGGGGTATGGCAAGGTGAGTTCTTGGTTATCCAAGAGCATATTTTAGGGAGAAAGATATAGATTCATAGGTTGTTAAGGGGTTGGAATGGAGCTCAGAGATGATCCAGCCCCAACCCCTGCCCTGGGCAGGGACACCTCCCACCAGAGCAGGTTGCTCAAGGCTCAGCCAACCTGGCTGTGAACACTGCCAGGGCTGGGGCAGCCACAGCCTCCCTGGGCAGCCTGGGACAGTGTCATGTATTCTAAAATGCAGTAGTTAGAAAGGAAAAATAGGATAATATATTGGATTGTTTGGTGCACTTCATTGTGATAATTCAGATGTGTGACATGTCATCACCTCCCTGTTTGAAGCCTGTCAGTTTGGCCAAGTGAATGTGCAGTGGAGCTAAAGTGGATGATTTTGAATGACTTTTGCCTCCAGTTAAACCCAGTTTATGGACACATCTTCATGGGAGAGTCATGGGATGTTGCAGACTGATGCTGTGTTCAAAGTCACATCAAGTGAAAGGCCCCTGCTGGGTAAGAGCTGGATCTAACCTTGGCACTGTGTTTCTCCTGGAGCAGGTGGTGGATGTGAGCAGGTGTCCATGAGTGGTTCCCAGACATGATGGCTGACCAGCCACCTCCCCTGGAAGCTACACCTCTCCTCAATGAAGTGCCACTTCTACCTCACATGGTCAATGGGGACAGCATCCAGCAGGTAAATCCAACCCCATCCCACTTCTCCTGCAAGCCTTGGAGCTCTGGGCACAGCTTGGATGGTGGCTGCAAGAGGAGAAGGCACAGCAGAAAGCAGCTGTGATACTGATGTGCAAAGTTAGGAGAGGATGTGGTTCTCAGCACTGATCTCGTCAGGGAAACAGAAGTGCAGGTAGAGAGAGGGGAAAAATCATTCAGCATCAAATACAGTGGATGAGTTTAGCCTCCAGATTAAAAGTGATGTTTGTTACACCCATGGAAACGCTTTAAAATTAAACTGCAAAGTCCAGGAGTCAAAGCAAGTACAGATTTAATAGAGGACTAAGGTTTTGTAACTCATGTGAAGTAGTGAATAAAGATCAGCAAGTGGTTCCAGGGCTCTAAAGTCTGTTCCAGGAAGATGAAAGGAAAGAGTTTGGCTTCCTGGTATTAGGTATCTTCATTAATAATTGCAGGGCAGTGGTGAAACCTGAGTGTGTTTAGTTGAAACTTTAGAGTTCTGCTGGACACAACCCTTGAGAAGTGCCTGGTGGGGTGGGGAATACAGGCAAAAGTGAAAGCAAAACAGTTGGGAAGCCCAAACTTATATAAGTTGTTAGTAAACATGAAGTGGATTGGGTGTTTGGCAGTAGGAGCTGAGTGTCTTGTGCTGTAAATGTTGAGGGATTGGGAGAGGGACCTGCAGAGCACTCAGCAGTGTCACACACACTCTGGTACTTAACTCTGCATCTCACTTCAAGGTGCATCTTTTGCCTGAGCAGCTGCAAATGTGACAAGTCCTGGGAGGAGAGAGAAGGTTGTTGGGGTATTGGCTTAAAGAGCTAAGTGGTTGGTTGTGGATCAGTCAGATCAGTGTCTGGAGGATGTGGTTTGGAGCTTCCAGCAGTGACAGGTTCATGGTTGAACTTGATGATCTTGGAGGTCTCCTCCAGCCTTAATGGTTCTATGATTCTACTCCACACACTGCACATGGGTTTGGAAAAAGGAAGCTTTGAATTTACCTTTCTGGAGGCAGCATGGGATGCTGAACACCTCCTGGTCTTGATGACACAATGATCTTAGAGGTCTCCTCCAACCTTGATGATTTGATGCTTCTGTTCTAAGTTTGTTGGCTGGACAGAGTGTTGGGTATCTCATCCAGACTCACCTTCCCACAATATGCTGCACCAGGTGATCTAAGGTCCCTTCCAACCTGGGCTGTTCCAGGATTCTCTACTGACAAAACCTCAGCTGAAGGATTTCTGTGCCTGGAGTTAAGTAATGGTTTAGTTGAAGCAAGAGACAAACTGCCTGCTGCTTTAGTCTGATCAGTTCTTCACCTCAAGTGTCTGACACCAACTGAAACAGGAGTTAGGGGTTGTTCGTAGTGTTGTTCCCTTCTGTTAACAGCAGGGAAAGTTGCCTAAAATTTTCCAGAGAATAACTGTCGTGAAATGGTGAGGAAAGGTTACATGAAGAGCTGTTTGAAAACAGGGTACAGCAAAATAGCCATGAATTGTTGGTGGTCTCAGCCCATAAATGCTGGAAGGTTTTAAATGAGATATCCTGTAAGTTGTTGCTGTTACAGATGAGAGGGAGGAGAGACCTGGGTTGTTTCAGTGATATACTTGGAAAATAGGCTTTATTAAACAAGTGCTTTTCTCTTTTTGCCACAGATTCTGAGGCAAAAACTCTTGGAGAAAGACTGGTGGTAAAAGCACAAGAGTTGTGTCTGGACATAGGGAAAGCTGTAGAGCCTCTAAGCTATCTCTGAAGTTGTGGCATTAGCAAGGTGAAATTTCAGCCCCTGCCCAGCTGGGAGGTTACTCAGGAGGTTGTGTTTCACAAGGAAAAGGGATCAAGCAGATCTAACTGAACACCATCCCCAGAGCTGTGTGTGGGGCATGTCTGGCTGTGGGGCAGTGTGGACAACACATAGAAAGGTGTCAGTCCCTGGTATTTTGGGGACCTAGAGGAGACTTTGCAGTCAGGGAAATTTCCAGATGTCACCAAGTTGAGTGGGAGTGTGGATCTGCCTGAGGGTAGGAAAGCTCTACAGAGAGACCTGAACAGACCTGATGAGTGGCTGAGGACAAGTGCAGGAGAGGTGTGGGATGTGTGTCCTGCCAGGGCTGCAGGGAGAGGACTAGAGGGAATGGCCTTGAGCTGAGCCAGGGCAGAGTCAGATTGGATGTGAGGAGAAATGTTTTCCCTGTTGTGGTGTTGAGGCCCTGGGATATTGCCCAGGGAGGTGGTGGAGTCACCATCCCTGGAGGTGTTTCAGAGGTGTCTGGATGTGGCATTGGAGGATCTGGTTTAGGGGTTCCAGCAGTGACAGGTGAATGGTTGGACTTGATGACCTTCGTGGTTTCCTTTGACCTTGATGATGCTCTGAAAAAAAGGCAAGACAAAAGGGTTTTCTCTTGAAATGCATTTGAAGAGAAGATTTGAAGACTGATGTTCCTTTAAACAGTGTCTTGACTTAGAAGCTTAATTAATGCACATGATGGTTAAGGATTTGACTGCCAGTGCTCTGGAGGACAGGGATGGGCTGATTATAGGTCATGGTGCAGTGATTTGTTTCCAGAAATCAAACTTGGGCTGTTTGCCAGTCCCTTCAGTCACTCTGGGATGCAGCACCAGTTCCATGTCACTTAAAGCCCAAGTTGGAAGTTTCCTGGAAGGGTTTCTGGTTCTGAGCAGTGGAAAGTGTGGGAGTTAGGGATAAAGCAGAACACTGGGGCATGGAAACAGCTCTCAGCCTGTGCTGGTCCCAGCAGCTCTGACCTGGCTGCACCTGGAGGTGCTGACAGAGCTGTGACTCCAGCACTAGCCTGTGTCTAACTTGGCTTAGGTCCACTCATTAAAACGCTCGAGCTTCCTGGAAATTTTCCTTGTTGGAAGGTAGATGGAGCTGCCTTTGCTTCACTAATTACAGTGAGTCATTCTTCTAAGACATTGCCCTGTGCATTCCTGGAATTCCAGGCCCTGCACTGCACCACTCGCTTGGGATCCTGTTCCCTGAGCTCAGTTAGGAGTTTCCTGAGCTGTTTCTGAGAACTTGAGTTGACTGAAAGCTGTTTTGAAGCTCTGACACGTTCACTGGCTCTGGATCTCTCCAGGATCCCTTTGCTGCCCTGGGAGATGAGCCTTGCTCTGAGGTGTAATCCTGCCCAGGGAGCAGCAAACCTCCTCTTTCCTGGTTCCTTGTGCTCTGGCAAATCCATTATTGTCACTTTTCTTTAAACAAATAACTTCTCTCTTCACTGAGCTCAGAGATTCAGTGGCATTGAAGTCATCAGTTCTAGTCTGAAATGACAGATCTGCCTAAGTTTCATTATTGGTATGAATTATGCCATTTTTAAAGGTATAATCTGCTCTCTCTCCTTCTCCTGGAACAATCATAAGTATTACTGTCTGCCTAAATGGACTTTTCAGCTGGTTTTCAGTGGTTTCCTTATGTCCAGAAGCAAATCATGTCCCTGAAGTAAAATCCTCCTGTACATCAGCACCAATTCTGCTGTATGAGGGACGATATAAAAAATCAGAGTCAGTGTTAATGGCGCAATGAACTTATTAATGTCATGCTTAGCTCATTTTTTCCAGGAGTTATATGTCCAGGTGGTTTCAGATCCCGTCTCCCTGCTGGAACTATCACTGCAGGGGTAGTGTAAATATATTGGATAAAAACTGAAGGAACTCTACCCATCAGTGTCTCATCGTCCATGTCACTCCAAGGTTGCCCAGGCTTTGTTGTTTCACTTTTAGCACATGGATTTAAGGAAGAGAATGAGGTTTCATCCCCAGATAATTCCTGAAATTTGAAGGAAAAAAAGGCAAACTAAACCTATGTTGTGATTTCTTTCCTACAGGTTATTCTTGTCCAGGTCAACCCAGGTGAAACCTTCACAATTACAACTGAAGATGGCCACGTTCAGTGTATTCAAGGTAAAGGGAAGGATGAAGTTCTGAATCCAAATATTTTGATTCTGGAGTTGCTGCCAGTGTTTCTTCAGTGGTGTCAGATGTGGTTTGTGTGTTCTGCAGAGTAATACATTGAGTTTTTCAGTGCAGATGAGGCAGCACTGGGAGGTTTCCAGGATTCCCTGCAGGCTTTAATGTACAAAAACTGAAATTTCAGCTGGGTTTGTGATGCTCCTTGAGTAACTCTCTAACTGTAATCCTAATATAGATATTTATATGGGATTTAGTCCACAAAATCTAAGCTTAAATAGCCACTGTGCCCTCACTGCACTGTAAGGCATAGTTGAGGGAATTGTTGCTCCCAAACTTTCCCTTCTGGGCAAGGGACAATTATGAGGGCAAAGTATCTCCTGTAAGTCAAGTTGAATTTATCAGTATTTCCATTTTTGACTGATTTTCACCATTTCCAGTGATATTACATAAAATGTGTCCATTCTGCTCCCATCAAACCCCACACAGGAATATTACTTCCTTTCAGTCTGATGTGAAAACTCATAGATTGTTAAGGAGTTGAAATGGAGCTTAGAGATGATCCAGCCCCATCCCCTGCCCTGGGCAGGGACACCTCCCACCAGAGCACTGTGAACACTGCCAGGGTTGGGGCAGCCACAGCCTCCCTGGGCAGCCTGGGCCAGTGTCTCAGCACCAGAACAGGACAAATTTCTGCCTGGGAAAAGCTTTGTTTGTTTAAAAAGTGGTTCTTGTTTCCCCTCTAGGTCCAGCACATGTCCCTATGATGTCCCCGAATGGTTCTATGCCACCAATATTTGTGCCTCCTGGTTATGTATCTCAGGTAAACCTGGATTTATTCTCCTATTTCCTTGTGTTTGTGGGTGGGGTTTTGTAATAACATCATTATTCTTTATTTTCATTGATCATTTTCGCTGGGAAAAGAATTTATCCTATTTTTCCCACAGAATTTATCAGCTATTTCACTTTACTGTGGTCTCTGTCACCTTCTGTTCACTGACTAACACCTTATCAGGTATTAGGGGTATTTTACTGATACTCCTAGGCTGTATAAGATACTTTTAGGAAGAAAACCAGCTCTGAATTATCTGTCTAAGCTCCATTAACAGGACCCAGGTGTTTATTCCTCACCAGTGCTGTGTGTAGGGTGAAGGTGGGTGCCTGGCTCAGACAAACACTCCCAGCTGGCTGCAGGTTTGCTGTTCCATATGGCTAATGATAACTAA